CAAAAACAAGACATCTTCCTGCTGGCCACCTAGAGTGTGGTCGTCCTTGGTCTAGGGCTCACCGTCCTGCCGGTACTTCCCGTTTTACCTTCATGTTTGCCGTATCAATGTAATTGAATTCTTAATGTTTTTTCTTCAAGTCAACTCTCTATTTTATTCATTTATCATCATGAATGAAAAACTAGAATCTTTAGCAAACATAAACCCAACATTATTGAATTCTTAGTTAAAGTTGCTTGCATCCCTGGAGCTGGAGACTTGTTCCCTTTCTTTGAAAGAAAGATTTGTGAGGGGTTGGAAATAGGAAAGATGTCTTTCCATCAAAATAAGATTTTTTTTTTTTGATAGAATCAAAGTGTTGATTTGGAAATTGATTGAGAATTGAAAAGGGAATAACTTTCCATGTTATTGAAAAATATAGCACATCTGTGTACCTGAGAGCATGTCCCAAAGTTGGAAAATTCTGGTGTGGTCCAACTTCCTCATATTACAGATGAGCAAAGGAAGGCAGAGAGCAGAGACTTGTCCAGTTACAGAGATGGGTCCCAACCCAATGTCCCAGCATTCTCCCCACTCCCTGGAATGGTGATGCCTAATCTCTCTGCCCACCTACGAAAAGATGAATGGCTGCATGAAGCAAGAAAGGAAACAGAGGTCCTGAGGCAAAATCCAGGGAGACGCGGGGAAGTGCTGGGGGCACTGGGGTAGTGAACCTGGCAGTGGCGTGGATGGGGACTTTAGGGGCTCCTGGAGAGAGGAGGTTACCACCTGTTATCTTGTCCCAATCCTCCTTTACAAATGAGGCAGTTCAGGACCAGAGAAGGAAATGACTTGTCCAAGGCCTCAGGGCCTCTTGCCACCGAGGGGAAGGTCCAGTTCCCATCGCTGCCTTCCCAGCCTGCATTCTTACATGGCGCCCCTGTAGTTTTCCAGCTCTGATACCCCTGCTTGTTTGTAAAATCTAGAATGGTACTCGTATCCTACAAGTATGAGGGTGCTGCTATTTAAAATGTACTACTATTGTTACTTTTCACCCACAGGAAGATTTCCATTTTCATCCCTGCACCAGCTGTCTGCAGAGTCTTGTCTGGGGCTGGTTACTGGTCTCCACTTCCAAGATACCCAGCACAAGGAGACAGCGCACTCTACAATTCTGGTATCTGCCCGCCCCTCACCGCCCCCGGTAACTCACCGCAAATCGGTTTCCACATCTCTCGCTGCCACAGCATCTGCAGCAGTCACTTTCCTTCAGGCCCAAGAACAGGTTGGCAGGGAGAAGCACCTACCAGCAAGAGAAACACCTCAGAGTGAGCCTGAGATGTGAAGCGAGGGCCTGAGCCTGCCTGCCTGTTACTGAGTATTTAGATGCCATTTGTCTTAACCGCAGTTTCAGCGGAGCACGATTTCAAGATTTGACCCCCTGAGTTTCCACTTAGATGTTGGGTTAAGAAAAGAAAAAATACATGTCATTAATTGTCACAAAAAGTGAGTCTCTCTCTAAAGCAGAGGTTCCTAACATCTACTGAAACAAGGGGTACGAAATTATTAGTGAATGAATGGAAGGAGAATTCCCCGATTCTCTTGCTTTTCAGTCAATCGGTTTATTAGAAAGTGTATTTGCTCCCACACCTCACACCGTAACCCCATGCCCTAGTACTCTTTTGGTAGAAATTTGTGGCCTTCAGTTTGGTTCATGGAACTTAATTGATCCACGAGAAATGCCAGCCTAAGTTTAAATTACTTGGTAAAGTTAGTGGACATGTCTTTGTCAGGTCCTAATAGAGAGGGAAAAATTAAGGCACTGACTTTTCATCATGCAAAACTTAGGCTTTTGTTCGTAACTAAATATACTCTTTATCAATAATTACCCAATTTTAGAAGGGCAGTGTTAAAATCTCCTATAGGGAAATTTTAAGGCTTTCCTACTCACCAAGAACCCACTTCCTAATATTCCTCCGAAAAACCAGACCTCTTCCGAAAGGTGGTAGATGTCTACCTCTTTTCCTCCAGGAAAAAATAACAGAATGTTAGCTATAAAGGCAATCACAGAAAGCAGAATGAGGGTGCCCCCCAGGCACTTGGCAAAATTCCCAGCACACATGCTGGGTCAGTACAGTACAGGTCTGTGATAAAAGCTCCTCACTGTCTCCTTCTCCAGGTCTCTTCAAAGTTATCAGCTAGAGTCCTAGTAAATGGCCCTAATTCAATCCGTATATTGGAGCTGAGAAGCAAATCAGCTGGTAAACTGTGTCTGTGGGGCTGCTTCAGCTTCTCAAATACAGCAGAATCTCAATGGCAGTGACATTTTACATTCTCCTAGACTTGGAGTCCTGTTTTTTGTTGTTGTTGTTTTTTTTGTATCTCCATAAATGAGTTCATGTTCAGAGCAATCATTTTGCCATGAACACCATCTATGTTCCGCAGACTCTGGTTCTATTAGGATAAAAGTTCTGCCAAAGTTGGATTAAATGATTAAATGGGCTTAGGTAACAGTGGCTCAGACAAAATAAAACAGATTTCTTTACTATGAGACTTCTCAGAACCTTCGAATGCTCACATGCATTGTGACTCATGTGCATTGTGAGAAAGGTAGATAGCTGTGGGGTGTATGTGTGCATGGAGGGAGGGGGATGATCTGCAGAACCCACTTTATAAAATGCTTTGAAATTGATCCCTAGAGCCTCAGTGAAGACAGCCTTTTAATAATATAATTAAAAGAAACTCCTCACTACTACCTTTGAACATGAAGAGGGAGGACATGGGTAAATATAAGCTCACAATAAATCCCGAGACGATAGCCCTGCGATAAGGTATTTATTACAGGCAGGGCCTCTCTACTCTTTTGCAGAAACGGCTCTTCATGCCTCTGTCATGGGAAGGCACAGATTATGGGCCAGATCGACAGTGCCTTCACACATTCCTTTCCTATGTCTCTGGACTTACTATTCTGGACCATGTCTACTTAGAACAGTTAAAGATTCACCTGGCATCTCTGCCTCTTATGAGTGAGCATCGCCAACTCAGTGTCAGTAGTGGAAGCTGAAATTTTGTCCAGAGATAAAATATTTTAGACTAGCAGCAATAGAATCTTCTGTAGGCACAGTGTGAGAGAAGATGAGAGCTATATTAACACTTGAACTGTTCTTCCTTCAAGAGCTTAATCAAAGGAGTTAAAATGATTTCCTTTCATTGTGTTATAGGAGAAAACGCAGGACAGACACCCATGAACATCAATCGTCAGCAGATCCATTTTCCTGATTTTCTTGACTGTCTCCCAGGAAGAAACGTTGATGTAGGAACTTTGGAATCTGAAGATTTGATCCCCCTCTTCAATGATGTAGAGTCTGCTTTGAACAAAAGCGAGCCCTTTCTATCCTGGCTGTAATCAATACCATTGTAACTTGGGTGCAGTTGTTACTGGTTCTGGGGTGTCCTGGAACTACTCATCCTCAGTTTTTTGTGTCTGGCGGACAATGAATTGAAGGCAGATGCTCAGCAGTATGTAAGCAAGCTAGTTTTATTGAAAGTGAAAGTACTCTTCTCAGATCTGCAAGTAGGCTGCCTGGAGTGGTCAACCCTGTAGATAAAGTACACTCTCAGAAGGGAGAGCAAGCTGCCTCGAGAGGTCAGCCTCGAAGCCTCCTGCTTTGGTCTCTTTTATTCTGCCTGCAAGGCTCCAGTCCTCCCCTTTTCACAACAGCCCTTCCCCTACAAGCCTTGATTAACAGATGTTTCTTATGTAAGCTTCTTCTCTCTTAGCATGTGTATACCCATAACGCACTCGGTTTGCCCATCAGGGGGGTCAAAACCTCAATGTAAATTTATTATAATGATTGTATAATGAAGCAGAGGTGAATTCTAGGTCACACCAGCTGTCCTTCTGTGCATGCTTACGTTGGGGAATTTCTCTGTCATTGCCTCACTATTGTGTCAGGTCCAACAGTTAAGTCAAGGCTATTGTTTTAAAGCTATTTTTCATTTTGGCTGCTGTGGGGAGGGCCCCTAGTATAACTTCTACCACACAATCATGACCTGACCTTTCCTGGGCCTCTTGGAAAAGTCTGCAGGAGTACCACCTCTGCCTTTATGATTCATCATTGTGTCCCATGTCAGAGGGAAAGTGCACAGAGTAGAAATTTACTGTGGTTAGATTTAAGTACCAAGGAGGGGTAGGAGGGGTAGGTAATGCTTTCTCAGGCATTTGTCATCTAAAGTCTACATCTTAGAATGACGAATAAGCAAAGATACACTCAGAACCAAAAGATTTAAAGAAATGCTTTGGGGAGACACAATGCAAAAATAAAACATGAAACAAATTAAACAGTATTATCTCAAAAGAAACTGTTTAGAACAAATAGTCTTATCAATAATACAACCTGTAGATTGTGAATTCAGAAACTTATAAATTTGATAAGAATCCAGAGTCAGTTAATAGTTTAGATGAAAGAGAGGCTTCTATGAATTTTAAATCTTCTAACTGGCCCGGTCTGAATATCTTGAGAAAGTGGTCTCATCAGTCGTCATCTACTTCAATCTTGGGAAATCTTCACCTTTGGGTCACTAGATTTGCAGGTCCACTCAGAGTGAAGGGCTCTCTTCAGATATATGATGTTAACCCAGGAGTCTATTTTCTGGAATTTGTTCGCAGAAGAGTTGGTTAGCAATACTTGATAGAGATCTTTTCAGTGAAGTTGAAGAGAGTCTTTTCGGAGATATCTTTTCCAATAGATGAAATCTCCAGGTTGCAGAGTGTGTTGGTTAGGGTCTTTGTGTCTCTGGAGCTCACTATGAAGAGATCAGTCTACTAGAATGTGGTTAATTTTGATAGAATCAATTAGGTTTTCAGAGTATTAAAGTATCTCTTCTTTTATCAGCTGTAGATCAAAAGAGGCAGGGGCTAGATGCACTGGATGCCCTGTGACTATCTCAAAGGGTGGGATTTTATGAGTTCCAAAGGGGATGGATCAGAGATTTAGAAGGACCAATGGCAATGCTTTTGACTAGGTATTTGGAGGGTCTCTGTAAATTTTGCCAATTGAGTCTCAATAATGCTGTTAGTGCATTCAAGTAACCTGAGGATTGAGGGTGGTAAGTGCAGTGAAAGTGTTATAAGACTGGCCAAACAGCACAGACTTGTCAAAGTATCTGACACATAAAATGGAGTTTCAGAGAGATTCCTCAGATAGGAATCATCTTTTCCAGAAAAGAGGCAGTAGCCTGTTTACAAGGAAATGCTTCAGTTCAGTGAGAAAACATACAGACCATGACTAAAACATATTTGTATCCATGGGGGAACTGTATGAAATCCATTTACCAAAACTTATAGAGTCCATTACGTGATTTAAAATGCCTTGGAGCAGTGCGAACAGGCTTCCAGGGTTGTACTTCGAAAAGGTGGGACAAGTGAGGTAGGTGCTCTTTGTGGCCTTACTAATATTCCCATACCAGTACTGATTCATGAATGTTATCACTTTTCAGTGAACCAGTGGTTTAATGCATGTACAATAGTCAGGAGTGGGTATTTTGGAGTCTCTTGTAGAACCAAGTTGTTTTTTGGCTTGAACCAGAACTTTCCTTTTTATCAAGCCAATAATTATTGGATCATCAGTCTTGTTTTTATCCTTTTCTGAGGCCAATTGTTGGGCTTCTTTAACCTGTTTTTCTAAATTGTCATTTGGGGAAATATCATTTTGGACCATGAAGGAGGCGTGACTGCTGTTGGATCCTTGAAGGATGTCATTCCTTGCATTAGTGTCAGCAAGATGATTTCCTTTAGTTTCCAGAGAGTCAAGTTTAGAATGCCCTGGGATCTTAATGATAGCTAAAGCAGCAGGTAAAATTATAATATCCAATAATTCCTGAACATACTGGCCAATCTGAATTTCATTTCCACTGGAAGTAAGGAAGCCACGTTGTTTCCACAGAATTCCCAATTCATAAGCTACTCTGAGAGCATATGTACTATCAATATAAATATTGTCAGTTTTGACCTTGGATAGGGTGCAGGCCAGTGTGAAGGAGAATGAGCCCATATAATTCAACTTCTGTAGCTGCAGTAGGCAAAGGCAAAAGTGCCATTTCAGTTACATCAAAATGTGTTGACATTGCATGACTTGTACAATATTCATGTTGTCACATTTTAAATAAAAACCACCAGTAAACCATGAGAAGCTGGCATTACTCAAGGAGTTTCCCACTGACCATCCCAAAGGCTTAGGAGGCGATCTGTTGGTGTTCAGCAGTCGTGAGGAGCTTTGTGGATAAACAGAGGGGAGAAGAGAAGCAGGGTTAAGGTTATCACAACATGAAAGAGTTCTGTGAGGAACAGTTAACAGAAGGATGTTGAGTTTGATGAGAATTCAAGAGGGCTTCTGCTGCAAGGGGTACAAAGATGGTTAAAGGGGATATCACAATGGTTTCCTCGGTGGGCATAACCAAAGGACAGTGGCCGTAATGGCTCCAAGGCAAGAAATATCCTCATGCCACAGGGCCCAGTTGGTACTATAATACCTTATGGATCGATGGTTGTCTCCATGTTTTTGGGTGAGTACCCTAAGGGCATTCCCTTCCTTTTCATATACATTAAGGAAAAAGGGTATCTGATAATTGGGATGCCCAAAGGCAGGTAGGTTTATTAACCTCTCCTTTAAGATTTTAAAGGCTGTGTCGTCCTGTTCTTTCCATAAAATTAGGTCAGAGTTGTTCTTTAGTAAAACATATTGATTCAGCCACAAGGGAGAGATCTGGAATTTAATTTCAGCCATACCCAAAGAGCTTGAGTAAACCTTGCAGTCGGTGCTTAGTTTTGGGTTTGGGAAAACTTAGGATACTGCGAAGCCTATCTGGATCTATGTGCAGCCCTTGTTCTGCTATCATATGTGCTAAATACTGAACTCAGGTTTGGGCAAACTGCAGTTTTTCTTTGGTGACCTTGTCTCTCAATGGTTAAAAGCTTTAGCAAGCTGTCTTCCTGTGAGAAGACTTGGAAGGCAAAGAAGCAAGTTGTCTACATAGTGCAACAAAATAGAAAACCCTTAGGGATATTTGTATCACCTCAGCCTTCAAGATTTGTGAGAAATAAGACAGGTTCTCAATAAATCCCCGAGATAGTACTGTCCAGGTTAATTATTTTTCTTCCCAAGGGAAAGCAAAAAGGTATTGACTATCTTCTTCAATTGTAATGGTAAAGAATGCACTGTATGAATCAGTTATGGTAAATAATTTACTTTCAGTTGAGATGAATGTGTCACTGGCAATCAATTGTCTGCCTTGTGTAAGAGTCTGGGGCTCAGGCCTTGGGTCCCCACAAAAGATTTGCATAGCATTCCGACACTCAGAGAAGAAAGAGCAGATGAAAAGTAGCAAACAGAAGCGATTTTATTAAGAAAAGTAGGCAGAGTAAAAGTACGCTTGGAAGAAAGTCCAAGAAGGCACCTCAGTAAAGGATTGAGGGCCCGAGAAGTCAAGGGTCAGGCTTTATATGGACCTTAGGACTTCTTTGTTCTGTCCTTTCCATCTCCAACGGCACAAATTCCTGGCTCCTCCCTCATACGCTCCTACTCCAAGCTGGGACACACACAGTGTGTGCCCATAGACAGGATGTCACACGCTTGTGCCCTCAAGATTTTAAGGGTAGGCGCATGCTCAGTTAACTAATTTTGCATCTTCCAGTCCAGAGCTCCCAGAGTAAGGTCATATAATAATCACCTGCAGTTAACTGACAGGGGAGTCGAGGGAGGGAGGAAAGGCGTGAGGAAGGTGTCAGGTACTATGAGGCCTCATGCTTGCCTGTCTGGCTTCTGATCTTGGGAGAAGGAGGGAGACTGTAGGAGTCTGGCAGACACCTGGTTGTACATATTTGGCTGAGCTGTTCTCGAGGCTGGGGCCTTGTTACTGGCTAAGGTTATCACAACATGAAAGAGTTCTGTGAGGAACAGTTAACAGAAGGATGTTGAGTTTGATGAGAATTCAAGAGGGCTTCTGCTGCAAGGGGTACAAAGATGGTTAAAGGGGATATCACAATGGTTTCCTCGGTGGGCATAACCAAAGGACAGTGGCCGTAATGGCTCCAAGGCAAGAAATATCCTCATGCCACAGGGCCCAGTTGGTACTATAATACCTTATGGATCGATGGTTGTCTCCATGTTTTTGGGTGAGTACCCTAAGGGCATTCCCTTCCTTTTCATATACATTAAGGAAAAAGGGTATCTGATAATTGGGATGCCCAAAGGCAGGTAGGTTTATTAACCTCTCCTTTAAGATTTTAAAGGCTGTGTCGTCCTGTTCTTTCCATAAAATTAGGTCAGAGTTGTTCTTTAGTAAAACATATTGATTCAGCCACAAGGGAGAGATCTGGAATTTAATTTCAGCCATACCCAAAGAGCTTGAGTAAACCTTGCAGTCGGTGCTTAGTTTTGGGTTTGGGAAAACTTAGGATACTGCGAAGCCTATCTGGATCTATGTGCAGCCCTTGTTCTGCTATCATATGTGCTAAATACTGAACTCAGGTTTGGGCAAACTGCAGTTTTTCTTTGGTGACCTTGTCTCTCAATGGTTAAAAGCTTTAGCAAGCTGTCTTCCTGTGAGAAGACTTGGAAGGCAAAGAAGCAAGTTGTCCACATAGTGCAACAAAATAGAAAACCCTTAGGGATATTTGTATCACCTCAGCCTTCAAGATTTGTGAGAAATAAGACAGGTTCTCAATAAATCCCCGAGATAGTACTGTCCAGGTTAATTATTTTTCTTCCCAAGGGAAAGCAAAAAGGTATTGACTATCTTCTTCAATTGTAATGGTAAAGAATGCACTGTATGAATCAGTTATGGTAAATAATTTACTTTCAGTTGAGATGAATGTGTCACTGGCAATCAATTGTCTGCCTTGTGTAAGAGTCTGGGGCTCAGGCCTTGGGTCCCCACAAAAGATTTGCATAGCATTCCGACACTCAGAGAAGAAAGAGCAGATGAAAAGTAGCAAACAGAAGCGATTTTATTAAGAAAAGTAGGCAGAGTAAAAGTACGCTTGGAAGAAAGTCCAAGAAGGCACCTCAGTAAAGGATTGAGGGCCCGAGAAGTCAAGGGTCAGGCTTTATATGGACCTTAGGACTTCTTTGTTCTGTCCTTTCCATCTCCAACGGCACAAATTCCTGGCTCCTCCCTCATACGCTCCTACTCCAAGCTGGGACACACACAGTGTGTGCCCATAGACAGGATGTCACACGCTTGTGCCCTCAAGATTTTAAGGGTAGGCGCATGCTCAGTTAACTAATTTTGCATCTTCCAGTCCAGAGCTCCCAGAGTAAGGTCATATAATAATCACCTGCAGTTAACTGACAGGGGAGTCGAGGGAGGGAGGAAAGGCGTGAGGAAGGTGTCAGGTACTATGAGGCCTCATGCTTGCCTGTCTGGCTTCTGATCTTGGGAGAAGGAGGGAGACTGTAGGAGTCTGGCAGACACCTGGTTGTACATATTTGGCTGAGCTGTTCTCGAGGCTGGGGCCTTGTTACTGGCTCATATCTGCCTACCCTGTCTGATGTTACTAGCATATGAGGGTTAGGAACAACAGTGTCCAGGGATAACTATGTTGTTTATTGCTCAGATATCTTGGAAAAACCTCCACCCTTCACTCTTGAGAATGTTACAGGGACTAGGACAAGAGATAATGAGGCTCTGAATCTTGTAATTTCTATTTTGGGCTTTAAACCTTGAAGGGCTTCATACCTTGAAGGGCTTCTTTAATTATGGCATATTGATTGATTCTAGGAAGGCATTTTGAGAAATATATTTGAATCTTGATAGGAGGTACACTGTGGATTTTGCCAATATTGAAGATTTTGCCCTAAAAGGGATGATAGCTGATTCAATAGGGACAAGAGATTGGTGCTCCCAGATTCAGTTATAGTGCCTCATGCTTGAAGCACAGCTCAGCCAAATATGTACAACCAGGTGTCTGCCAGACTCCTACAGTCTCCCTCCTTCTCCCATGATCAGAAGCCAGACAGGCAAGCATGAGGCCTCATAGAAAATGGAGCAAATAAAAGACGTTGAAGGGTCATATAATTTTGTTTGATTGACTATTTTAATGGCTACTGTCAAATTCTAAAATTGTTTCCCTCTTTTGGGAGAAATACTGGCATGATACTTTTCTAAGAAGTCTCAACCTAATAAATGAATAGGGGCAAATCCAGTGCAAAATGAAAATATGGGCCCCTTGCTCACAATAAGAGTTTCAAGATGATGGCATAAGCGTTAACCAAGTGTGGAGCTATTCTGGGGTGGGGCAGAGGGAGGGTGCTGTGTGACTGCACAGGAAGCATGTCTATGAAGCTAGCCCTGCCCATTGTAACTCTGCAAGTCAAAGGATTTTAATACTAGTGTATCTCTTTGTAAAATTAAGAGAGAAGAGGCTAATAATATAAAGGGCTTCATAGAAAAAAAATTACAAGAATTAAGCCAAGAAATTATTAATATATTTTTCTGAAATAGCCTCTCACCAAATCCTTCAGGTAGCCAGCTTTTTTTTCCCAACAGTAGGAAGGAGTTTGGTGCATCTGAGACCTTTGACCTTAAGCCAGATTTGGTTTTCCTCAAGGATATCAAAGAATGTAAGACTCTTAGGACCTTCTTTGATAACTCCCAACATTCTCAGGGGCACTAATATCAACAACCAGCAAATGTATATTAAGCCTGTTCGTTCGTTCATTCATTCATTCATTCATTCATTCATTCATTCATTCTTCTGTACTGGCTGAGCCCCTGCCATTTTGAAGACACTAAATAGACTTTGGAAATACAAGGATGAAGAAAACTCAGTCCTTTTTGAGCTTACTGTTTAATCAGGGCCGTGTATTATGGAACAAAGAGTAATGGGAGCTCAGGATGGGGAAGGATGAAGAGAAGTGAACGACTTCAAGTAGGCCATGGTGTCTGAGCTCTAGCTTCAAGGAGTTTCCCAGGCAAAGGCCTGTTTGGTGCCAAGAGGGCCGGAAGAAGTTGAAATCATGGTCTCTGCCTCCAAAAAGATAATGTAGTATTATGTACTGAGCACCAAGTGGATGCTAGTATAATTCTGGAGAGAGGGTGGGTCATTTGGGGTTTGGTGATGAGGTAGGATCAGGGGAACAGGAAAAGCATTCTGGGAACTGGGAACTGTTAAACAAAGACATAG